ATATACTTCAAAAAAAGGAGAATAATATAGGACCAGAAAGAAAATTTGGAAGTGGTCACAAAGCAAAAAAGATGTCTGCAAAAGAGATAAAGCGTCTTAAAGAATTGATTGATCAAAAAGATGGTATTTCACAGGGTGGTCTTGCAAAACGATTCCAAAACGATAAAATTATTCACATAAAAACTTGTATTCATTATCTTAAAAAAACTAAAACACCTAAAAGAGCACTTACTCAAAAAGCAGCTGTTTGTTTAAAGTGCCATAGATTGGTTTTGGTTTTTAGGAAAAAAGTAGCTATTATTGACAATGAATTGTATTTTTATTTAAGAAACACTAATATTTCCGGAAATGCTGGATTCTATTCTTCTGACATAAATACAGCATCAAATTATGTAAAGTTAATAGGAAAAGACAAATTTGATTTAAAATTACTTGTTTGGATTGCATTCTCGACGAAAGGAATCTCTCAGCAGTAGATTGCTTCGTCAGGCCAAGCAGTCAATGAAGATGTGTATATTTCAAATGTCTTGTTAGATTAGAGAAATTCATTGAAAAATATCATAAAAATGACAATATTGTTTTTTGGTCTGATCTAGCTTCGTCACATTATTCGCATACAGTACAACGTTATCTAAAAGCTAAAAATATTGAATTTGTACTGAAAGAGCATAACCCTGCTAATGTGCCAGAATTACGTCCAATTAGAGATTTTTGGTCTGAACTTAAGAGATTAGTATATAATAAAAACTGGCAAGCTGAAAATCTTGGTAAACTTAAAAAGCGAATCTAGTTTTCAATTAAGAAAATCAACATAGAACATGTACATCTGCTAGCTGCCACAACATTTACAAGACTAGATACTGTTCATTGTCATGGCATGAAAAACTTAAAAAATTTTTATATTTTATTAATTAGACATTTTTTGTTATTATACTTTTTAAATTATTGAAATTGATCATTCCGTTAAAAAGTCATACAACTTCTAATTTTGTCCAGATTTTTAGTTATCACATATTAGTCTCTCATCATTGCTACATACCATTGACTATCTTCTATCCGTCATCGGAATGCCTTGATGAAACCATTTGCTTTCTGATATCCTATTTACATTTATTGTGACTGAGTTGTTGACAATTAACTGTGAATGAATTTTTCAAATTTAAAATTTAAAAATGACTTAAGTACCAAAAACTATAACACAAAAAACCATCATCATCACCAAGTTCTCCAAATCTATCATTCACTAATACTTGTGTGCTTTGAAATAATTTTTCTTCTGGTGGTGAGTCTTATCTCTTGCAAAGTTCACTAGACTTGCTGGCTTTTACTTACATCAGACATTGCTTGCTCTTTGTGAAACGAATTTGAGTTCAGCTGTCTCATCTTGTGATCTTAGTGTTAATGGTTATCTTCCTTCAATTAATAAAGACTTCAATGTTCATATGCTTGGCCTAGGCATTTACATTTGTAAGAATTCACCCAAGACCTTGTTATTCGTCTGGGAAATAGGTTTCAATTTACAGACAATTCTTTTATATTAGCTCTAGTGCCAGTGACTCTGCAGAGGTTAAGGCCTAATATCTCATTCTTCTTCATCATCAGAATCCCCCTATCATTGTACCTTTTACAAATACCCTAAAGCTGACTGTGACTCTTTCTGTTTTTTTCTTTGTGATGGCCCTTGGGTAGAAATCTTTTGTCCTGCTGACAGATGTGCTTCTTATGTAACTTCTTGGAATCAGGCTTGCATGGAATCTTTTAATCCCTCTCAACAATTCCAAGTCAAGCCTCACTCTTCTTTCATATCTATCAGCAAAACAGTCTCCAGAAAATAGGCATCTGTTTACTATTGCTAGAAACCATTGTAAAAAGGTTTTGTCTAATGCCAAAGCCCGCTATTCTCAGGTCATGAAATTTTGTATACCATTTCAAAAATTAGGCTCTTGTGACTTTTGGAGACAACAGATTTAATAATTTAACAGAATCTATAATAAGGGCAAATCTGTTGTTCCACCTTTCTTGTATGGTTTAGATTTTGTCGTCTCACCTGAAAGCAAAGCTGAATTGTTACTAAGAACCTTTCATCATTATCAGTCTTGATTCCACTAGTCGCGGTGATATAGCTGATAAACGAATTGATGCTGAAAAGCGGCATCTGTTATCCCTTTCGTGCTTTTTTTTAAGTTCTTGAGAGCAATCTGACTCATCCAACTATAATCATTAGTCTTCTTACTATCATAAGCAAGGTTTTTGAGTCTTTAATTAATAAACACTTAATCTCTCACCTTAACTTAACTAACTTACTTACTGATCATTAATACCTTTCTGATTATCAATATGGATTTTGGTCTTATTGTGTATTAGATAGAGACTAAGGCTTTTGCTTTCAACATTACTGAAGCCTTTGATTAAGTTTAGCATGCTGGTCTTCTCTATAGGCTTTCTTCTTACGGTTTATCAGGCAACACTTTTAAGATTATTGAATTCTTCCTTAACAATCTTAGTATAAAAGTTATCCTTGATAGGCAGTACTCTTCTTTATATTTTTTAACTTCAGGGATTCCTCAAAGTTCTATCCTTGGCTCTATACTCTTTTTAATTCACATTAACAATCTTCCAGATATTTTCACTTCTAAGGTGGCATTGTTCATTAATGATACTACCATTTATTCTTGTCTTGATAAGTAGCCAACACTCTCTGATTGCTTGGAGGGGCATTTGAGCTTGATAAGGATCTCACTTCTGCTACAGCATGGGGCTCTCAGTGCCTCGTGAGCTTCAACTCAAATAAAACTAAATTTTTTTGGCTAATCGTTATCACAACAATCTAGATCAATATTTATGAATAGGAATGTATTCGATGAGTCATCCATCTTTCATCTTCTAGGATTAACTCTTACTTCTGATCTTTCTTTGAAACCATATGTTAAATTTATTGCAAAATTAGCATCTGCTTAGGTTGCACTTCTTTATTGTGCTCACCAATTTCTTACTCCGGATTCTATTCTTTATTTTTATAAATCTAAAATCTGATCTTGTATAAAATAGTATTGCCATGTTAGGAATGGATCTTTGAATAATGCCCTTTCTTTCTTAGATAAGGTGCAAAAATCCATTATAAACATAGTTGGAATTGTTCTTGTATCCAACCTTTAGCCATTGTCACATTGTTGTAATGTTGTCTTCTTTCTCTTTTTTATATATACTATAATGTGCATTGCTAGAGCTAAAGAGCTAGCACCTCTTGTGCCATTTACTAAAATTCATTATTGTGTTACTTGTCATTCAATTTAGTCTCATTCTTCTACTGTGGCTGTTTCTAAGTGCTCCAAAAATTCTTTTTTGTCTAGCTTTTTTCCTTGAACATCACTTCTTTGGAATTCACTTGCTTCATATTGTTTTCCTAATTCATATAATTTGTAATCTTTTAAATTGTCTGTTAATCATTATCTTGCTTTATAAACTTATTCCTTTTGACTATCTTATATTACACAGATACAATTTAAAGAATCTGGCTACTGTTTATATTCCCTCTTTTTCTATTTTAGTATTTTGAAATTTTTTAATAAAACTAAAAATGAAAATGAAACAGTAGTTTCAGTTAATATCAAAGTTTTAACTATAGTAAAAATGATAAAATTGTTTTTGTAATGATCAATGATGCATTAATATCGTCGTTAGAATCATAAAATAATTAATAAGCATTTACAATACAGCAACAATCACATATTTTTGAAACATTGTTATTTGTAATTCAATTCTTATGCGTTATATTTTATATTGTATATGAATTTATATCAATATATTTGCTTTATGAAATTTATTATATATTGTTATAATTATATTTATTATATAAATATATATATATATATATATATATATATATATATATATATATATATATGTATATATATATATATATATTTATATATATATATATATATATATATATATATATATATATATATATATATATATATATATATAGAGAGAGAGAGAGAGAGAGAGAGAGAGAGAGAGAGAGAATTTTATATTTTCTGAATATTAGTTTACTATTTATTATTTCCACAGGTCCAAACATATCATCATCAAATGATTTTTGGAAAATGATTTGGGAACAAGATGTTCCTGTAATAGTAATGCTAACAAATCTTGTAGAAAAAGGAAAGGTAGCAAGAGTTACAAAGTTTAATTTCATTGCAATTTTTTTTGAAAATTTTAATTTTGTTTATAAAATATTTGTAAAAATTTTGACATTTAAATTTTTATCTTAAATCATTTTTTTTTTTTATTCTTTCCTTTTTTCATATAAATATTAAAGTTATAGATTAAATTTTATCAAAAGCTTTTTTTTTCAGAAAAAATGTGAGTTGTATTGGCCAACTTCAGATGCAAAAATATTTGGTGATGTAGAAGTAACAATTTCTGCAACAGATAACTTCTCAGATTATGTTATTCGAAAATTTTCAATCAAAAAGGTTTAGTTTTCATAAATATTGTGCTTTACAAAACTTTTCATAATTGTTGTAATCATTGAATTTTGGAATCATTAGATTCATTTTTACTAAATGTTCCTCTAATAATTTTTTGTTAAGAATATTTGGTCAAAAAAGAACATTAAGAATAATGAGAGTTTAGTCTCTTAGTACTTCAATAAAGAAAAAATCATTTTTTAAGTCATTTTGGCTTTACAACAACAGTCATTAAATGTTATATATATATTTTATATATTTGTATGTTTTTACTTTTTTGTATATATATATTTATATGTTTTATATTTATTTTATATATTTACATGTTTTTTAGGTTAGTTTAGAAGGAATAAAGTTAGTTCACCATTTTCAGTTTCTTCATTGGCCAGATCATGGAGCACCAGAGTTTGTCTCTGACATTGTCCTTTTTCGTCATCGCATCAGAAAAATATTTCCATATGAGTACACACAAAATCCAGTGGTGGTTCATTGTAGGTATGGTGTTTTTATTTTGTTATTGTTTTTACTGTGTTTGTTTTTGAAATAATAATTTAAGATAAAAATAGTTTCAAGAGAAATCTTATAAAAGTATCATAGGTTTTATATCATTCCCTAAGAGCATTTGATTTTTAAAAGTTATGTTCTAAATGTCTTTTAACGTTCTTTACGTAGGAATGTTTAGAAGACGTTTAAAAGACTTAAAATACATTGTGGCTGAACAAGATATAAAGTTTTTTTGACTTAGTTGATAGTTATAAAGCGCGAAAATGTTTAAAATTTTTTATATTAGTATTAAAACCATTTGCTAACTTCTTTCCAAATGTTGACTGAGATACATCATACATCAAAAGCATCCAAAGCATCACAAAACCCATGAAGATTATCTGAAAGATTTTTTCTCAGTTCTTTGGATAGTTTGAGTAGCCTTTTACATTGGGGTCCTGCCATTTTAAAATAAAAAATATGCCTAGTTCAACAATTTATTAACAAGACAAATTTTATTTTCGAATAATATATTAACCTTCAAATTCCCATCCATGATACTTTGCTTTTTAAAAGACCATGTTTTTTTAAAAAAGGTGTCCATTCGTTAGTTCCCCAGCTGTGAGCTAATTCATTCGAGATAATGTTGACACAGCCCTAATAATATTAATATATAAGTTTGAATAAAAATTTAAAATATAGAAAATTATTCTAAAGGTATAGCTTTACTGATTTCATATTCATTATGCAATATAAATAGTTTTTATTATAGATATTTTCCAGAAAGTTTTAAAAATATTTACAGTAAAAATGTGTAATTCAGGAATGCTGCAAATGTCTAGAATCCTGGTTAAATCATTTCCTACTAGTAACAGAAAATTCTTGCAGTTGTTAAAGTCTTTTAGCTTCAAATCTTTTTTCTCAGCTGCTATCCAGGCTAAATTATTTTCTTTGAATGATCCAAGAGTTCTAACTTCTCCAGATACAAATAAAAAATCTTCCATGTCAGAACTCTTATTGCAAAAACAACAGGGGTGTTTTGCACCTAATTTGTAAACCCAAAATTAGCATGATGTACAATAATATAATAAATGTTTAAATGGAAAATTTTATTTACTGTGGCTTTGTAGTCCCAGAATGTTAAGCAACTTTAAATCAGCAGATAGTTTATATGATATCTCGGATAGACCAACTTTTTTCCATATTTGCTCACAATTCAAGTAACATTCTTCTATGCTTGGAACAATTCCAATTAATAAGGTTTTATTTACTGATGTCTCTTTTGCCAAATCAGGATTAATACCCTGTTATATAAGCAAAATATATACTAACTTTTTTAGTTAAATGCCAGTTATAGTATATTATTATAAGTAATAGGTTTGAAAAATCAATTGCATTATGCCTACTTGTATGCATTAAGCAATGTGGCTAATATCTCTTTCAGTGATTTGTCTGTGAATTTTCATATTTTTTATATCATTATGTGTCCACACAGGATTAACACGATGGATACTACCTACATTCAATTTATTTAATACTTATAATTATTGATCTTTTAAAATTAGCACACAAATACAAGATATAACTTATTTTAGTTTAAAGGCCATACCTTTAGAAAGAATCAATGGTGTCCCGCATGTTGCTAAGGTAATCTTATTTTGTGAGGCAAATTTCTCTTGAAGAACTTTTGCTGCAAATTTTTGATTAACGTTCCTCATTACAGTGGTTTTTGAAGTTAGTATACATAAATTTGATACTTGTGTCTAGGTTGTACATTTGTGTCCTCTTAAACTAAAAATTTCAACAAAACATTGGTTGCAGATCTTTAAAGCAGATTTTTGAGATGCAGGTGGTTTTAATCTGGATTAATAAATGGTTTTTATTTTATTATAAATTCTAATTATTTTTAATTAGAAAAAATATACATATATACTTGAATAAAACTTGCCCTGGTCTTCCTATATGTGGTTTTATGTTGGCTTCTTTTCTTTTAGCAACTAAACATATAAGACACAAGCAAAACCCTTTTCTCCTAGTAACAGTCTCCAAGACCACACCTGTTATAGCAATTTTATGAATTTAAAACCATCTAGTTAGTGGGACAGTATAAGGGCGAACATGCTGATGAAGAACTGTTTTACATGTTGAGCAAATTCCAGATGCAAATATTGGATCATTGAAGTTGTATTCAGAAGATAAAAAAGTTTTTATAAAATGAATTAATAGAGGACTAAGTAAGATTTTCTGTAGCATATTGCGCATACTTTTTGTCTTGCTTTAGAATGACATGGAGAATAGTTTGGCATTTCATTTAAGCAGGTGTTTAAGTTCTTTTGATTTTATATTATTTATGAAATATCTTGTTATATTAGCTATCATACAGAGAAATTTTAAATAAATAAATTACATAGAATACAGTGTTTTCAATAAATTATTTGAAATGAACATATAATAAAGTTATAAACATCTAAAGTTTTTTAATATACGTAAATATAGCATTATCTAAAAAACGTCTTTTTTTGTTTTTTGTAAAATGCCATATTTTATCAAGACAGAATGTTAAAATTTTTTGGAATATAATTTTAGAGTCGCCAGACTAAAAGCTAACAATATGTGTAAACAGTTTTTCTGTACAATTTTTTTCAACCTAAAGTTCATTCAGCGACACTGTGAGCTAATTATTAAGAAAATTTAAACCAAAAATGGTTTTAATTAAAGTAAATATATAAAGGAGGAATTACAACCATGTGAATCAAAATTGTAGCTTCAAATAATAAATAATTTAAATGAAAAAAAAAAAAGAAATGGAAAAAGCAAAATACAACGCTAAATTTATTTAATAAAAAATATCAAATAAAAGAGTTTTTATTTGGTATTTTTATTTTCTTGTGCTTACAACATATATTATGAAAACCAAAAAGTTGTTAATAATTTTTTTTTACTTTTTTTTTTTTTTATTATTTATTTTGTGTCTGCCATTGCCACTGTATGGGTTAGGCCTCTACTTGAAAGAGCTCATCCATACCCCCATTTTCACACTATTTGTTGAAGGATTTCTCTTAAAGTGTTCCTAGGTGCTAAGATCCTGGTGAGCAATAGACTTTGTAATTGTTACAATTAAAACCTAAAGAAATAAAAAAGAATATTTAAAATATAAACTTTGAGACCTTTGAGATTTATGCAGGTCTAGAGTTGGATGCCATTCATTCATTCATTCGTATGCTTTGTCATAGTGAAAGTACAAAAAAAAAATTCAAAAATCATTACTTAAATTTTATTTTAATTGCGCCAGATGAAAAATCTAAAGAAACAAAAAATTAGAATATAATAAAATGTTTAGATTTTAATAAAAATTTTTAAAACATTTTAATAAAAATATTAAGCTTAATCTTTTGGCGAAATAAAAATTCTACATATTTACAAAAATATTAAAAGAAATGGTTTTAAATTTACTTGCAACTTCTTTATCAACATTATAATTTACTTATGCTTAGTTTAGTTATATAAAATGGATTTATTTAAAATAATAATTTAAATTAAATTAATTATGAAATTAATTTATTATGCAAATAAACTAAAATACACAAAATGTAAGTTTTATAACAAAACTCAACAAGAATGCTTACTTCTCAAAAAAATTGGCCACTAAAAAAGAAACTAGCTTAAGTGCAAAAACGCAAAAGTTTTTATAATATTGTATAAAAATAAATACAAACTTTCAGCTTCGTTTACTGCTTCATTTATTTGTTCACTCATTATATATATATATATATATATATATATATATATATATATATATATATATACATATATATATATATATATATATATATATATATATATATATATATATATATATATATATATATATATATATATATATGTATATATATATATATATATATATATATATATATATATATATGTATATATAAAGATTACATCAGATTATAAAATGTAATAGTTTATAAATAGTTAAATAATTACTTTCTTAAAATTATTTTTATAAATAATAATACTTAAGTTAACTAACAAAGTTAAATATAATTATTACTTCTGTTATAAATATTTTAGGAATTGTGGTACATAAATGATAATGATTGTAAGTTTTCATTTCTTTTGCAGTGCTGGTGTAGGTAGAACAGGAACATTTATTTGCATTGATGAAATGCTGGAACTTTTAAAGCGTCAAAACAAAGTGGATATTTTTAATTATGTTAATTTTATGAGAAGTAGAAGAATCTTTATGATACAAACTGAGGTGTTGTCTTTTTCTTTTTCTTTTTTTTTTTTTTTGTCATATTTATAAATATTTACTTATAGGAATTTGTTTGAATATTGCCTTTTTTGTTTTTCCTTCCGCAATATTTTCTTTGTAAAGCCAGTTAAAATGAAAAAACAAGAATATTATCTTAACTTTTTTTTTTGCAACTTGACAACCATCTTGATCTCATCAAATTTAGAATAAAATATTATATTAAATGTGTATTATACAAAAATATAATTTATTTTTTTTTACATTATTTTTATTTATTTATATTTTTTTAATTATATTTTTTTTTTAATTATACAAAAATATAAATTAAAATAAAATACTTTTAGCTATAAAGTTATAAATATTCAAAACCAGTTGAAAGTTTTACTTTAAAATAAAAAGAATTTAGAGTATAATATAGAATCATAAATAATAATTATAAAATAAAATGAAAATAAACAAAAAGAAACTAAATCCAAATAGATGTAATTTCTTATCATTTTTTTTTTTTGGGCTTATTTTAGGTATAAAACTAAAAAACTAGCCCGAATTAGATATCTTACTGGAATGTGTATATAAATATGTGTGTCTATATATATATATATATATATATATATATATATATATATATATATATATATATATATATATATATATATATATATATATATATATATATATATATATATATCTGAGGCAAATGCCTTCAAGATGGGTGTTTGTTACATATGATTGCTGCACATTTCTTTATTGTCTAAAACTTCATGAGCTGAGAACTAGAGGTATCGCAAACACCAGCCATGTGTAAGCCATATGCAAAAATAATAAGGCAAGATTTACATATTAAATTAGGAGAGATGCCAAAAAATGCCAGGCTATGGATTTCAGACATTCCAGCGCAACATTACTGATAGATGTTTTTGAAATGAGTGTTCTGTTTTAGATCATTTTTATGGTCACACCAAGGAGCTTGAGTAGTAAGGGTTGGGTTTCTAACTTACTGCCTGCAACAAATATTTTCATTTATTTATATATCTTATTAATATGATTTATACTTTAAATCTTTATTATATGATTAATAAATTATTATAAAATAGTTGATTATAAATTAAATAATTTTCTGCTTTGTTTTTTTAACTGTTAGGATCAATATTTATTTGTATACCGTGCTATTTTTGAATCAATTACTTGTGGTATTACTGAAACAATGGCTTCAGATTTTCCCCAACTATTTGCAGGACTATCAAAAGTGATAAATTTAAAGTCAGGCACCACCACTGGTTTTGAAGAACAGTTTGAAGTAAGAAAAATATTATTTTTTTAATGAATTTATTTTTTATTTATAAATCGCCTAACTTTGTATTTGTGATTTAATCATAATTGCACATTACTTAATTTTTTTAATTCAAAGATTTATTTAACCAAGATATTTTAATGAGTTAAATGTTTGTTTTCTTATAAATATATTGTTTTCTTAGAGCGTAATGATTATCTATGGGTTTATTATTTTGCTTGTTGTTGTTGTAGGTGTTGTTGGTGTAGATGTTAAGGTGTAATGTTTGCAATTGAATGGCATAAAGAAACAATTCAGTTAAAAAACTTTAAAACATTTAATTTTAGAGGCTGAAGATGTTTATTTCAAGTCCAGTCCCTGAAGATTTTAGTAATGCCCTCAAAGATGTCAATAAAGTAAAAAACTGTAATCAAGAAATATTAGCAAGTAAGATGACTTTTTTTTATTTATTACATCAACCATTATGTTTTTTAGATATTTTTCAAATGTTTAATGTAATGAAAAAATTGAATTCTCTATAACAATTAAAATTTTTTTGCTATTTTGGTAAAATCTCCATGTACAAGCTTGCCATTCAAAGTGAAACTTGTTTCCAGTTCCACTTTGAATCTCTAAACATTTTTATTCTAATTCCAAAAGCTTACATTTTTACTTTATTTAAAATTCTAAAATATTAACAGGTGATGAAAAACGTGTATTATTATTGGATGGCATCTACGAAGAAGGTGGTGATTACATAAATGCAGTTTATATAAATGTATGTTTTTTAAAGTTTTAGATTTTTTTATTGATCTAAATATTTAGCAACTTAGAATCTAAGTTGCTAAATGTATTTTTTTTATTTTGTTATCTGAATAAAAAATTCTTGTCAAACTGCAATATATAATCAAAATCATTTTTTTTTTTAAAAAAAAAAAAAACAACTGTCTTAAAAACAAATACCTTTTTATTATTGCTAGAAATCCATGTAAAAATGTGTTGCCTGATGCTAAACTCCACTTTCTGATGCTAAACTCCACTTTCTGATGCTAAACTCCACTTTCTGATGCTAAACTCCACTTTCTGATGCTAAACTCCACTTTCTAATGCTAAACTCTACTTTCTGATGCTAAACTCCACTTTCTGATGCTAAACTCCACTTTCTGATGCTAAACTCCGCTTTCTGATGCTGAACTCCACTTTCTGATGCTGAACTCCACTTTCTGATGCTAAACTCCACTTTCTGATGCTAAACTCCACTTTCTGATGCTAAACACCACTTTCTGATGCTAAACACCACTTTTTGATGCTAAACTCCACTTTCTGATGCTAAACTCCACTTTCTGATGCTAAACTCCACTTTCTGATGCTAAACTCCACTTTCTGATGCTAAACTCCACTTTCTGATGCTAAACTCCGCTTTCTGATGCTGAACTCCACTTTCTGATGCTGAACTCCACTTTCTGATGCTAAACTCCACTTTCTGATGCTAAACTCCACTTTCTGATGCTAAACACCACTTTCTGATGCTAAACACCACTTTTTGATGCTAAACTCCACTTTCTGATGCTAAACTCCGCTTTCTGATGCTAAACACCACTTTCTGATGCTAAATACCACTTTCTGATGCTAAACTCCACTTTCTGATGCTAAACACTACTTTCTGATGCTAAACACCACATTCTGATGCTAAACTCCACTTTCTGATGCTAAACTCCACTTTCTGATGCTGAACTCCACTTTCTGATGCTAAAACTTTCTCAGTCAGTCTTGAAAAATAGAAAATTGAAAAATCTGGAGACTTTTCAAAATCTTACTAAAGTCATTACTCAACTAAATTTTTCTTTGGCTTGTGATCCAGACAACATTTCTTTCGTAGTCTTACAAAAGTGTTTTCCTGAAATCTTTAATTCTCTCTAAAATATTTAATAATTTAATTTTTAATTTAAATCTTGTTTTTCTGCTGAAAAATGGCGTTTGCAGTTATAAAAAGCAGAATGTTCTAACCCCTTCAACTATCATCCGATCAGTTTTCTCTCTGTTAATAGCAAGGTCTTTGAGTCATTGATCAACAATTTCTAACATCCTATCTTAAATCTAATAATTTACTGCCAGGCAATCTAATAATAACTGCCATTATGGTTTTTGATCTTCTTGTTCTATGGCTGGCTTGCTAACTGCTGTGACTGAAAGATTCATTATATCGTGCATTAAATGGATGAGGTAAGGTAAGGGTTATTGCTCTTGAAATATTAAAAACATTTGATAAGGCATGTTGGTCTTCCCCATAAGTTTTCTTTGTATGGTGTATTTAAAAATGTTTTTGAGACTATCAAATCATTTGTTTTTAACTATTTTATTAAAGTCATCTTCAAAGGCCAACACTCTTTTTTATTTCCAGAAAATTCTGGGGTACCTCAAGATTCTATCCTTGGTCCTATTGTTTCTTATCTATATTAAGGGTCTTACTGATCATCTAAAGTCATGACATCTTAAGTTCTATTCTCTATTTGATGACAGCTCAACTTTATACTCCTGTCTTGACAAAAAATCTTATCTTTTTGATTGTTTAGAACAGGCAGCCAATCTTGAATCTGATCTCACTTTTGGTACTTCCAGTGGCTTGTGAATTTTAACTCATTAAAAACTCAATTATTTACTGAAAACAACTGTTGCAATGCTGTCATCATTCTTATATTAATGAATGGCAACCCTTTCACTGAGTAACTTTTTTATGTCTTCTTGGGTTATTATTGACTAATGAACTTTCATGGAAACCATATATACAGCGATTGCTAAATTAGCATCTGCTAAAATTGCTTTTCTTTTTCATGCTTGCCATTATCTTACTCCTGAATCCATTCTCTACCTCTACAAATCTCTTATTTGTCCTTGTATGGAGTACTCTTTTCATACTTGGGCTAGTTTTTCTAATGATGCTCTTTGTCTTCTAAACATGGTCCAAAATTATGTTGTAAACATAGTTGGACCTGCTTTATCTGCCAAGCTTGAACTTCTCATTGTGGAACAGTTCTGGAAATAAATATTTAAAGGTTGCCATCAATACTAACAGGCTGAGAAGAAAAATATTGAAAAGTAAGACCAACTTTTTTCTGGCCAACTTTAAACTTTCATATTACCTAAAACAGTAAAAAAAGAAAAGATTTTTTTAGCAGCTTTTTTTTACAAAAGAAAATTGCAATTAATAAGAGCTAATAGATGGAAATATAATTTTTGATAAACAATTATCATTTGTTTTGGGTGATTCAAAATTATTATTAATTAATTTTATTTGTTCTCATTTTTAGTATACTTTACTTATTACTTAGTGCATAATAATTTAGTAACAAATTATTTTTACTGTGTAGTGAGTTATTTTGAAAACTTATTTGCTGTTATAGATAGTTACTTACTGCTGTTACCTACAAAAATCTCAACCTACTAAGTTGTTCTATATAAAGAAGATTTACTAAAAAGTGGAACTAATTTTCAGATAATCTACTGAGGCCAAAATTATTTTCAGCTGATTATTATTTTTTTTTATTTTGAACTGATTTATGATGTTTTTGTTTTCAATCGATTTATTTTTCAACCTATTTTATTTCATTTTCAACTGATTTGAGATAAATTAATTTCCAACCGATTATTTGGTCTGTGTTTTTAGCATTGTTTTTTTTAAACTATAATTTTTTTTTTTTTTGTTAAAATTAACAATCAATAAGTTTTCCAAGCAACCTTATACCTACCGATTCTGAAGACAGCACTTCAACCACTGCGCCAAGACTGATCAAATTTGGCTCGTATTCAAATCAACAACAAAATATACAAAATACATACCGGAAAGTTGTAGTTATAAAATTGAAAATTCAGTAGGTTGAATGATCAATGGTTGAAAATTCAGTAGGTCTAAAATATAGTAGGTCAACGATTCAATAGGTTGAAAAATTAGTACTACATGTTTTAATTAGGTTTAAATATAAAAATAAAAAATTATTGGTTGAAAATCAAAAATATTATAATCTATGATTTACGAAATTTCAAAATTAGGTTGAGTTATTTCAAAATTTCAAAATTAGGTTGAGTTACCTTATTTGCAAATTTAAATAAAAATACAGCTAATTTACAGTTACAACTGTGACAAAATAAATAGCACGATGTTTATAATTGTTAATGCGACACAATCATGGCAAAAAGTGACCAACGAAGCCATCCAGTTACTTTGACCTGGGATGTGTGATAATAGAATCAGATTGTAGATGATGTCATTGGGTAATAATCAGAAATGAATGTAAAGACTGTTTAGTAAGAGGAATAAAATTTCACAACTCATGAATAGGGGGAGCCATAACTCACACTCTAGTCATCCTAAGCAAATAATAATAAAATAATGGTCTATGAGTTAACAAGTCTATATGAATCTGCTGGTGTAATAATGGCTCTTATGACTAGAAATATTACAATATTAAAAAATAAAATGAAATAAGTAGATAATAAAATTGTAAGAAAAATGTGCGCCCCATACGTACATTAGTAGCAATAATCCACCATGCTATAGTGTTGGTATGCTTTCTCCAAAAAAAAAGCATATAAATGTGGTACAATTCATGGTCTAAACACTAGACAATAATAAATTGAAAACTGATAAACACCTGTGTCACACCAAAATTTATAAATATCATTAGTTTAACAAATATATATTGTAAAGCTCACAAAGCGCTAAATTTTATGGCCTAAGAGGTAAAAAATTGGTGCCATCATAATCAACTAAATTTAAGTAGTGAATGAATGGTGATTCTTCTCCTCAGGAATGCACTGTGATCACTAAAGACGTTTTGGGAAGTCCAAGACCTGTACTAATGCCACTCGTCAGGGACGTGTCCTTGCAACATATCTCACAGCCTTCACTTAATATTAATAAAAAATTAGTCTTTTTTAGAATAAAAAGTTGTACTTTTTTCAGATACTAATTTCTTATTTAATAAAATTATGAAAAATGAAATAAATGTTGTAAATAATAAAATAAATCTTGTAATAAAAAATAAGTAATTAAAATTTCATAAAAAATTAGTTATAATATAGTTGAAAAAACAGTAATAAGTAAATTCTTGTAATAAATTTTTATTAATATTAAAAAAATATAAATACCTTGAATTTAAAATATTAACTTGTATTTATATATTTATTTTATGAATATAATTTATTTTATGAATATAATTTATTTCATATTCTTTTTAATCATTTTTAACACTTAAAACAAAAATGTTTTAAAATAAAGTCGTTTTAATGTTTAATGATGATACTTTTGAGATTATTAAACAATTAAAAAAAAAAAAAAAAGTAAAAGTAAATAAACTTTTTCTGCTTTTGATTTCTATATTTATTATTTGGACTTTAAAAGAAATTTCAAGTTTTATTTTTCATTCAAAAAAGTTCACTTCGTTCATAAAAATTAATTAACATTTAATTAACTAATTAATTTTTTTTCTGATTTTGAAGTCAGAAAAAAAAAGAATTCTTAATCTAAAATATTTGTGATTTTTTATCATTTCTGCATTTTTGCCTAATATTATTTTCTTTTATACTGTAAACATTAAATGTTTAAAATTATGCTGTAAGCTTTTTTTATACTGTAAACTAAAGATTACTCAAAATTTCGTCTCAAAACTTTTTTTATTTTGATAATCAAAAACACCTAGTAGCTAACTTTAAAATATCAGTTATTACAAAATAAATCATAATAAAATACTGTTTTTAAGAAGCAATTATTTTATTGGTTAAATAAATTTGTTAATAAAAGATTGCTAGCTTTTAGATATTAATAAAAATTTCTTAATAAAAGATTGCAATCTTTTATTAAGAAATTTATTTACGAAATGATAGGGATTGCCTTGATAAACTTTTTTTAATATTAACTTTAAAGTGTACTATGTAAATACATAACTTCTTTTACTTAAACATTTGTATGTGAATATTGAATGAATACATAACTTTTTTCACTGAAACATTTTTTACGCTTTTATTACTATGATGGTATAAATTTGATGCTAATACTTTAGTATTGAATAAAGAAAAATTGCCTTAAATTGAACTAATAACTTATATCATCCAAAGTTTGGCTTGATTAGAATTTGCTTTAGTCAAACAATGGTTCAAGTTGAATCATTTTCATTTGGTTCATTGGAGGTTCAAGTCATCTGGAATTAACAATTTTAATTTTTTTTTTAAGTTTGCCTTGCAATTCTTGCCAATCAAGTTTGATTGGCCAGAATTAATAATGGGAGATCAAAACATTCTTTTTTCAAGTAGACAGTCATTGATTTTTAATTGACCATTATTTCCAGCGCTGATCTCTTTCTCTATTCTACAAATACTATCAATGTCACTCCTTAAATGTGCATTTTCAATTCCTTAACCAAAACTCATTCTCGCTTGACTTGTCATTCAGCAAAGTTGCATCCTTTTACTGTATCTGTTCCTGCATACTCTAAAAACTTTTATTCTAGTCTAGTTTTTATATCTTCATATTTTCCTGACTCATACAACTTACAACTATTCAAGTCTTCTGTCAGCTGTTTCTTTGCTCTTTAACTAAATTCTTTGTTTTTAAATACTCCCAACATAATAGTGGTTGCTTGCAACCTTGTTGGGAGTGAATTAAATTTAAACAAAAAAAAATAAGTCAAATTGTTCTGCATTAACCTAATTTTTAAAATTTTAATTGAATGTAAGAGACGATAAGAAAATGGCTGAATATACTCATTCATTTTACATTCACTCATTTATCTATCTGATATTTGTAATCTACATAACTAAGCAATCTGTAGTTTAAGTTACTATTGAATAAAGAAATCTTTTTATTGGTAAATTTTATTGGTTAATTGAATGTAAGAGACGATAAGGAAATGGCTGAATATACTCATTCATTTTATATTCACTCATTTATCTATCTGATATTTGTAATCTACATAACTAAGCAATCTGTAGTCTAAGTTACTATTGAATAAAGAAATCTTTTTATTGGTAAATTTTTTTTAATAAACAATTAGCAATAAGTTAAATTATGCGTTAAATGAGTTTTTAATTTTTAGGGTTTTAAGAGAATAAATGAGTATATTGCTACTCAGCATCCTTTAACATCTACATTGTCTGATTTTTGGACTATGGTATTTCAGAAGAAAATTGGTACAATTGTAATGCTTCATGACTCATGTAAAGAATCTGTGAGTAGTGATTTATAATAATAATATAAAATACCATAAATATTGAACAAAATTTGTTAACAATTTTTTATACATACAAATTTTATTTTATAATTTATTATTTATTTTAGAAATTATAAATATTGTAAAACTTATGAAAATCTTAAATAAAAATCTAAAACTTGATAATATCTAAAAAATAATATTAAATAAAATATTAAAAATGTATATAATATGAAGAATATAAATATATATATATATATATATATATATATATATATATATACATATATGTTATGAATGCCAATCTTGCAGAATTGTGCATATATATATATATATATATATATATATATATATATATATATATATATATATATATATATATATATATATATATATATATATATATAGACTTTTTACCACTTTTTTAACAAAACAACTTTGTTAAACTTAATGCAGTGAATGACATGGTAAAAAAAAATCGTTTGGTGTGTGTATTTAGCACATATTGATGTTATTATATGCTGAGTTACATAGTTTTTACTCAAAGTTTTACAAGCTTTTTTATATTTTTTTTTTTGTTGTGGTTTATTAATCGAGTTTTTTTCCTTACACATCGAAAAAACCTTATAACTCTGACCCATCATGTTTTCCTTTTTTATAACCTAGAAATTTTAAAGTCTTCAGTTAGCTGTTTTTGCTTGCTTTTTCCTATCCTCTATTTTGAAGTAACTTGTAGCTTAATAGTGATTGCTTGCAACCTTGTTGAAAATAAATTAGAGTTTAAAAATATATAAATATATACCAGTATTTAACAAATAGTAAATGTGAGTATAAAATTATAATATATAAAGAATTATTAATTTATCAACTCATGGCTATCTACCCCTGCTAAATCCTTGTTCTTACTTTTAGTGTGTATTGTTAAGGCCGCATTTGAAGCCCTGTTACAACTTAGTGTTTATTAATAGTAATGAGACAGTTGCTTAGACTTTTAGATAGTGTACTGAGTATTAGGTGCTTTGAGTCAAGTTCTGACCATAGTACCTCTTACAACTACCTTAAAGCTGGGACTATTTTCATGATTATCTTTGTGATGTTCCTCAGGTGGAAATCTTTTGTCTTCCAGCTTACAAATGTGCCTCCTACATAACTTCTTGGATTCAGGTTGGCATGAAATCTTTTATTCCCTCTCATTGTTTCCAACTCAAGCCTCACTCTTCTCCATGGTTTTTCCTCTCATTGTGCTGCTGCAAATTCCAATCATAATCATTTCTTCTTTATCTATCAGCAAAACAATTCTAGAGAAAATAGATATCTGTTTACTATTGCTAGAAACCATTGTAAATAGATTTTGTCTAACGTCAAAGCTTTTTTCAAATCATAAAATTTTGTATTTTATTTCAAAAATTTGACTTCAGAGATAAATGATGTTAAAGATTCTAGAGAATCTTTAACATCATTTATCTCTGAAGTCAAATGTCACTAAGTACACTGTCAAAGATTCTGGAGAATCTTTAACAGTGTACTTAGTGAGTCATCTACCCATAGTAGATCCCATTAGAAGTAAGAATTAATCCTTTCTGGAATTAACTCTTACTTCTAACCTTTGCAAAATTAGCATCTCCTATTTCAGCTTCTCTTCTTTATCTCTGTAAATCTCTAATCTTTATCTCTAATCTTATCTATAATCGTATCTCTGTAATCTCTTTATCTCTGTAATCTTTCCTTGTATGGAATACTGTTGCCAGATCTGGGGTGGATCTTCGAATAATGCCCTTCTTTTTTAGACAAAGTGCAAAAACATGTTGTAAACATGGTTGGATCTGATTTTGCAGATTACCTTTAACAATTATCACATAATGTTGCTTCTCTTTCTCTTTTCTATAAATACTATAATGGGTGCTGCTCTAAAGAGCTTATGTTTTTTGTGCCATCTATTAAAATTCATTCTCATGTTATTCGTCTTTCAGTTAAGTCTCATCCTTTTACTGTGGTTTCTTCCTTCATCTTTTTTTTCCTGATTTATGTAATTTGCAATCTTTCAAGTTGCCTTTTAATAATTATCTTTCTTTACTAACTACATTTTTTCTCTTCCAGTTACTTCCAACTCTAATAGTGGTTGGTTGTAGCCTTGTTGGAAGTAAAGATTCAAAAAAAAAAAAAAAAATGCCAACAAACTTTTATTATGTTTTGCCAATCTTTTTTTTCACAATTGATCATCAAATACGTTTCGATGATTGATAACATAAAAAAAATTTTTTTTTTTAATCATTTATTAAAAAGACTCTTTTTTCTAAATTTAAGTAATTTTTTTAAGAACGTTTTTGTTCTTTATAAGACTTTTATTCTCAACTTTGTTTTATGTATAATTCTTGTAGCTAATGTTGAATTTAATCTTCTTTGGGTTTCTTGTTGTGTTTAGTTTCTTCTTTGGTCATGTGTACTTTTTTTTTTCATTTTCTTTGCAGTTTTTTTTTTTTTAATTTTCTTTGCAGACTTTGCTTGATAACCTCTTCTTTACCAACAGCTTGAAAATAAATTATAATTGTCTGATTATTTTAAATGAAATTACTACTGTTACTACTGTTATTTAAAGAATAAATTTCTAATGCTTCTTTTTTTTTTTCTTTTGTAAAAAAAAAAATTTATTTATTTAATAGATGTAATCAATAAAATTTCAGAAATTGAGAAAAAACCAGACAACCAATAAGAATTTATAAAAAATTTTATAAAGCTATATAAGTTATAATATAATAAAATAATATACTATATAATTTAATATAAATATAATAATATATTAAATAACATAACAATATACTATATATCTTTATAAAGTTTTGGTTTAACAATCGTGATTTGAGCATGTGTGAGTGTGTGTGTTAGAAATTTTTTGACCAAAAAATTTCAAACACACACACTCACACAAACATACACACATACAAACACACGAATTCACACAAACACACTCCACGCATATTTACAAATATCTTTGTTTATTTATTAGGGTATCCAGAATTACAAGAAAAATATTTAAGTGTTCTAAATCACTCCACACTAGCCCAACTTTCTACTACTTTTTACGTTCTATTAAATATACGGAACAACCATACAAGTTTGAGCAATCATAGTGATCAATGATTTCAACATTTTGTGATTTTTTTAGATTTTAGATTTTGAGTGTTTATACATAAATAGTTTACTTTTTCTGCATTCAGAAAACGCAGCCGCTGCAGGAAGCTCTGTTGAAGTTTGGGTTGTTGCCAAGGTCACATTTAAGGACAGAATTAATTGCACAGTTAAAGATACCAATATGATTTAATATGTTAAAGACTAAAATGTTAAATATGACTGATATAAGTCTAAAGTAGTTGTATAATAAATACTATTTGTTAAAGGCGAATAGGTCAAAAGCATATGAAAGCTGCAAATTTGAGGAGCAAATGTTCAAAAATAACCAGATAGAACTTTTTGACATGGTTACAAAGAATTTTTTAGACTAATAATAAAGACAGACAATTCCTAACTATGCAGAGAGATGTCTTCATTGGCTGGAATAAATTGCAATCTTGCAGAAAAAGAAAAAAAAGAGAGTCTAATGAAAACTGAAGACTTAAAGCTGTAGAAAATCTAAACAAAAGAATTGTTTGGTATTGCTTTGGGTTTCAGTTTTTCTTCAGTCAGAAGAAGAGGTCCACCTCAATGATAAAAACTTGAGAGTTCAATCATCATCATCTGCTCAAACTTCTCAAAGTCTACCTCAAAGCCTAAATGACTAAAAACCGCAACTACAATAACAACAAATGTTGCAGTTGCTTTAGATTGAGTGAATCTTTTTAATTATATAACTATGTATATTTTTGCATCAGTATTAAAGGCCTCAGGCTATCCTCTTGACAACCTGTGACTGTCTATGACCACCATCAGAAGGTTTTTGTTTACCTGAAAACAAGTAGGTAAAGCAGATAAGAGTTTTTTTTTCAACAGAATATTTTCTTCTCTATTGAGCTAGGAAATTGCTTCCAGACATTGCTGTGATCATCACAGGGAATGGAATTAATTAAGTTGGATGTCCTAGAAATTGAAAGAAAAACTGGGAAAGAACAGGCTGCTGCATGCTTAAAAGTACTAGATGACTGGAGTATATAATTAAATTTTTAATGTCTGGTATTTATTACAACTTCGTCTAACACAGGCACCCATTGAGGATCTCGTTTTTATTTTTATAGAGGTATTTTCTAAAGATGACCTATAGTTTTGAGACTTTGAGTTCTGAGAATAAAATAAACGTTATTTTTACTATTTATATTTTATATATGTATTTGTGACTATTTTTAAAGCCTGTTTACACTGAAATTTTTGTTTTTATTGGTAACTGAAATAATTATTTTCTGGTTTTTAATGCAGATTTTCACTGAATTTTTTTTTTTTATATATTTAAGATCTAATTTTTTTGTTGATAACAAGTGAAAATTAATAAACGGGGGTTTTAATAAGTGGGTAGGGAAATTTTCCAAAAATTAATAAACTTCCACCGATCTTACAGACAATTCCAAAATTGATATAGGATAAATCCAGGATTTTTGAATTATATGATATAAATAAAAGGATCACAGCAGTTTTTATAATCCTGAAATCCTTTGTAATCACTGACAGCAAGTTTATAAATATTTATTTTAAATATAAGCAACATAAAAGTAATTTATTTTTTTTAAACTATGTTTTAGAGATTGCCGCAGTTGCATGGAGTATTAAAACATAAGAATGAGTTTAAAAATGTTTCTGTTACTTTGAATTATCAAGAGATCAAGGGGTGTATAACATTTAAAAATCTTCAAGTCAACTCATTAGTATGGTTTCTTGTTCTACTTTTCTATACATTAATATAGTTGTTTTATTTAATGTTTAACTTTTTTTATTTTTTTTTTGTAAAGAATGGTAAAGATATTGTTGAATGCGTCATTCTGTGTTTGGAATGGCCAATTGATGGTGTTCCTATTAAAAATGATGTAATTACATTAATCAATGAAATGGAAAAACAGCAATCAAAACATGGAGAAAATCCAGTTCTTGTTGTGTGCAGGTTTTTATTGTTTTATTGTTGTTGTAATTTTTTATAAACAAACAATTTGAAATCTAAAAATTTTTACCTTCTGTCAGGTTAACAATAGATTAGTTATTTTAAACAAACTGGAAAATTAAAAAAAAAACTTCATTTTGAAGTATATTTTTGTTTATAAAAAAAAAGGCTGTTGATTTTATTAGTTATTAGCTTTATTTGCAAAAAAAATATTTTTTTATTTAAATATTATTATATATATATATATATATATATATATATATATATATATATACATATATACATATATACATATATATATATATATATATATATATATATATATATATATATATATATATATATATATATATATATATATATATATATATATATTTAATATTAGTTTTATTTTTTTTTTTTTTTTATGGTATTGGTATTAATTGCACATATTGGTTATAAGTTAAAAAAACAGCTCTGTAATAAAAATTAAACAAACATGTTTACAGATTTTTCAATTAATGATGCAACTTGTCATTAAATCTCATACTTTAAATTTTATTTACTAATATGCAATATTTAAAAAATATATATAAATTTGTTTATTTAATTTAACAATATTTATTTAATTGTAAATAATTATCATGTAACAAGTATAATATGCGAGCCTGAAAGCATGAAAAAATAAAAACATTTATTTAGTGTATATTGTGTTAACTAAGTGTAACTACATGTTTATGAACAAGGCCAGGTTGAAGGGGGGTTTGAGGTGGAGTGTGTGGAATTAAACGACCTTTTTATTTCAAGTTGGTGAAAACCCTAAAGCTTTTTTTTTGTTGTGTTTTTGTTGTTGTTTGTTATCTAATTTAATATCTATATATTGATGAAGGTGTAAAAAACAAAATATGTTTAACATGGTTAATTACTATATTTCAGAACTTTGTTTTTTTTTCTTCAACTATATTTTTTTATACAGTGTGATATATCTGTTATCATTTTATCTCCAAATCTATGATGTTGTTTTATGACTCAGCAAATATAATATTTCCTCTTTTTTATGCAAATTTTTCACACAAACTTTGACTTTATTTTAAGTTTAATTCTGCAAGGGTCCAGAGGGAGCAACATGCTGCTGAATAGATAAAAAGGTTGAGCACTGTACCTACAGAGGTGTGGGGTGTATACTTCTAGAGGTGTAGGGTGGATTTCTAGATGTTTTGGGTGGACTTGAACTTCAAATATTTTGAAAAGCGCAACTGTACAATTACTCATTGAAAAGTTACTAAAACGTCTTTTGTTTTACCAAGCTATAAAGTTTTTGGTGTACATTTTTATGATGCTGTTGAAATTATGCGTGAGGAGGAGGCAACATTTTTAATTGTTTTTAATCAAGAGACCTCTGCATTAAATGAGTTATTTATAGCAGTCTTGGAAACAAATAATTTATTAATAAACTTGACCAATCGCAATTCTCAATCCTCTTTGATTGTGTTAGCAAAGTTATTATTATAATTTGTTATTATTATTTTTTCACAATCTAGGTGTTTGAACAATAGAGAAAGTGTACTTAAAAGGTTTTTAAAAAAAAAGGGTCATTTTAGGGACACCCACAATTTTTATGTGTGCTTAAAGTAGTTATTGCTGCTTCAAAATGCAAGTAATATTTTGACCCAAGAAGTTTATTACCTCTTATTATTTCGATTTTTAATTGTTTTTATCTTTAACATTTTATGTTTTTCTTTGCATTGTATCTTTTTTTATGTAAATAATAACGGCTTTGTATTTTTGTGTATTTAATGAAGATTAGTGTGTATTTTTTTGTATATTGTTTATTCTACATATTGCTTATATGTTTTGTATATTTTTAGTATTTATTTTTATATAAATAGTTAGTACTATTTTTTAATTAGTTATTTTTTTTCCGGATAAGTTTGTAAATATAAAGTAAAATTTTTTGTGTTGTTCAACACTTGAAAATTTTTTTTTTTTCAATTTCTTTTTAATTGACAGTGATGGAGCATCTCGTTGTGGAACCTTTTTGGCATGCTCCATTATTTTACATCATTTGCAATTGGAACAAGCTGTTGATGTTTTTCAAACTATAAGAAAGATTAGGACATCTCGATCTCAATTTGTTAATAATGTTGTAAGTGTTTGTTGATTAGTTTTGTTTACGAATTTTCTCATGGGGCATTAAAGTAGGGTAGGGCAGGGCTAGATAAGCAATCTTTGTGAAGTCTAACAGATCTCTTGAATTACACCATGAGTTTACATAATTTTTTTGGATTTGTTTAAAAAGATATTGACATTGACAAAAGTAAATAAAATGGTTTCATAATGAAAAAAAAAACTAAATAGCATTAAGTCATAGCAAAATAATTGTGCAATACACCAGTTTGAGCAAAGTTCTTCCATTATTAAATTGCTCAAAAAAAAGTCCTGTAACAAATTTAGAAGAGCAAATATATATTTACTCGGTTGCAAATTAGTGATAAAAAATCTTTAATCCACATTGAAAGGGTTATAAACAGATAAAAAAATTTAAAATCTTTAAAGATTTATTACCCATTTTATTCCTTCATCAAATGAATGATTTTATTATACCATGTGCAGCTTTATCCAATTTAAAGCATTAATTTTCTTTATTAGTATATTTCTCACAACATTGTTCCAGTATTAAAAACTCAGTTAAACTTACCATAACCAAATTTGCTGTGATTTTGCTTCTGTGGTATATTTGTAATTTATTTTTTACTAATTATAAAAATACCTGGTGTGGCAGGTCAACTTTAAAAATCTTAAAAAGCTCAGCTGAAATCTGCTATTATTAATTACAATAAATTGTAATGAAATTTAACGAATTGCCTCAAATACTTAACAATAAATTTTTTTTTAAAAGTATTTGTTTTTTATTATTATTTGAATAACTAGCATCAACAAAAAAATGTAAAAAATGTATTAAAGATTAAAAAGATTCAAACTTAAAAGTTAATATTTATTATAAAAGTTATTATATTGAATTTATAATAAAAGTTAATATTTATTATAAAAGTTAATATTTATTTTAAAACTTAATATTTATTTTAAACTAGTTTTTCTAGTAAAAAAATTGTAGAAAAATATTTTTTTTTAAATTCTTGTAAGGTACAGGATTGTGCCTGACACTACCTTGAAATTTTAATAAATACATATGTTTCACCTTATTGTTGTTTTTTACTTTCATTAATGGCAGGGATAAACATTTTGATTTTGAGTATTTTCTAAATATTTTTACATCATTATTTTGATCTTTTTCTTGCCTTTTATTAACACACACGCACACACACACACACACACATACATAATATATATATATATATATATATATATATATATATATATATATATATATATATATATATATATATATATATATATATATATATATATATATATATATGTATATATATATATATATATATATATATATATGTGTATATATATATATATATATATATATATATATATATATATATATATATATATATATATATATATATATATATATATGTATATATATATATATATATATATATATATATATATATATATATATATATATATATGTATATATATATATATATATATATATATATATATATATATATATATACACATATGCATAAATGTCTTGCTTAAATCAGAAGCATTTTATGGTTTAGAACACAGTTTTTTTTTTTTACAATTAAATATTTCAATCAGTAATAAAAAAATCTACCACAATCTGATTGATTTAAATTAAATAAGCTTTCACTTAATATTGAAAAAAGTTTCTAAGTAATGATTGTTGTTGTACTTAAAGAAATCAACTTTTATATTCAACCAATCAACTTTATTAAATGAAATTTTATCAATTATATAACCATAAGCTGTCCATATTATAAAAATAGCAATTGATCATCTTAGCAATACGCATTGGAACCTTTCATTGAGTATAATATTTATGCTTTTTGTTTATGAAAAACCTTTCATGTAAACCTTTTTTAATTTAAGAAAGAGTTATATTAGGATTTTGTGGTATTGTATGGTTAATAGAAAATGGATTTTTTATTTCTAAGCAGGTGGACAACACAAAGATTGGACAGTTATATCAGGGCTTCCACTGACATTTCAGAGCATTTCAACATTTGAAAATAGTCACATTCATTTGCAGTTAAATTTTGATAGAAAGATTTCATAACTTTGAAAAAAGGGTTTGCTGATTCAATTTCTATTGCTCTCCCATACTCCAAAGCAGGTTCACAAAATATCTGGGTTCACAAAAGGCCCTGAAATTCTTTGATGTAAGGACCACTTGTTAACTTTAATGCCCATGTTAAGATTTTTTTTTTTTTTAATATTATGAAGTTATAACTACTTTTGAAGCAGTTATAAATTGCTTTCGTATGCTTAAGTATGGGTCAAAACAAAATTTTCATTTTTGTTTTGACCCATACTTATACGCACTATATAAGTAACTATTATTTTATTCGTATTTTTTTTCATATTTTTACTAAAGGAAAAATAGTTGTCTGACATAACAATATTATCATCCATTAGTAAACGGCCGGAGATGATAATTTACCAGGGCTGGGGCCGGGTTTGATAAAATATAGCTGGGGTTGGGTTTGTGACCAGGGCTGCATAAACATTTATACATCCTAAAGTACTTTTTTTTTTCAAAATATATGTTGGATTTTGTATATATATGCATTTATAAACATTATTATGATCATCCATATCATAATCGTCATCATGATTATCATCGCCATCATTGCCATTATCATTATCATGATTATTATCATCATTATTGTATTCATCATCATTATTGCAATCATCACCATTATAATCATCATCATTATTGCCATCATCATTATCATCATTATCATCGTCATCATTAATGTATTTATCATCATCATTATTGCCACCATTGCCATTATCATTTTCATTATCAGCAGCAGCAGGCTTTAGCCTTCCTCTTTTAAACTGTTTCTCTAATCATGGTTAGTGCTCAAACAAGCTATTATCTCTATTATAATAAACCAAAACTCATTCTTGCTTGGCTTCTTATTCAACAAGTTGCATCCTTTTACTGTATCTGTCCCTATTTATTAATAACTGTCATAAATATATGCCAGAATTTAATAAACAGTAAATGCAAGTATAAAATTATATAATTATAATTTCATAATTATAAATTTATTTCTAGCCCTGACTATCAACCCCTGCTAAATCTTACAATTTTGTCGGGGCAATGGCCGGATTTCCAAAAAGTCTCATTTTTTAGCTGGGACCTTGGTCGTTTACTATCATCCATGGTCAGAGTTTTAGGTTTGGTAACAGTTGCAGTCACAATTGATTCTTCCATATAACAAATGTAAGGTTTAGCTACAACAAAAGTTATGCAACAGAGAGGTTTCCATTGTGTTTGCTATGTCTGTAAAATTTAAAAGTTTTAAGTTGCAGTTTACTAATGGGTTATAATTACGCTTTTCATTTGATAATAGTAAAAGCTTTTTTCTTCATTTGCATATTTTTGTTGGTGCTTCTTTACTATATTTAGGAAGTCACTCTGATTATAGATTAGTTTGTACTAGTCTACAATCAGAATGGCTTCCTACATTCGTTAAACCCTTTCTAACAGCAGACTCTATTAGAAAGAGGGTTGTAGCAAAATTATTACATGTCTTCGAAAACCACCTAGATAAGAACAATGAGCAGAAATTATTTTAGCAGTTTTTTTTATTACAAATAATTCAGTTTTTCAAATTTCATACTACATACTATATTATAATCCATTTTAGTTCATATATGGGGGGTACAGCATATATTTGCTGTACAGCTAGTAAAAGTTCTTGACGATCATCCTCATTGTGAACATTGTTCACAAACTCTAATACAAGTTTTACAGCCCTTTCAGAACTATCGTTCATTACTTCAAGTTAGCTTACAAAATTGGAGAATGTTTTGAACTGGTCAACATAGCACCATATAGGAGCAGGAAAGTTTACCCAAAGTTTGTCCTCCATTCTTGTCAGGTTTAATAAACTGAAGATGAACCAATAGTTCTCTTCGATTAATCGAGCAAGTCCTGGTGGCTTCTTGTTTAAAATTTAACTCTTTTATCAAGTTTAATTTCTCTGAATGCTGAAAATGATCAGGAACTGGTTTGGAGAATAATGTTTTTGCAATGTTTTCTCTCTCCACATTAGAAAAGTCAGGGTCTAGGAGAGCAAGTGGAACTAAAGTTCCATCTAAGTACCAATTGTGTCTCTTCATTGACATCGTTGTGCTTTTAATTCCATTTAGAACTCTCTTGGAATCAGCGTCTTGTTTTTCTACATGTTCTTTGTACTGCACCATTTGCCAAAAAGCTTTTACATCCTGAAATGGTGCAGCTGAGGGAAAGAAGGTTCTCAGAAACCAGAAAGAATAGAAAATCGAGATAAATTCTGCCATTGCCTTTAACTCTTTCTTTTTGGAAACAGTCCAATAAGGGCCAGATGTGTACTCAATATCTGAATCTTTAAGTAGTAAATGGCTTTTGACATGAACCTAGCATGAGAAACACAGCCTGGAGCTCAAACTTTAAAAAATATTTCAGGATGCAGATACATCAGGGTAAGTTCCAATAACTCCCTATAATCCCCCTGGGAAATATGTCAGTGTTTAATGCATCCTTGCAAAACTGGATAATTTCCTCAATCTGGGTAGCCAAGAAAGTATTGCTGATGGAATTGATATCAAATCTTGTTAAATTGGAAGGTTCAACAGTTTCCTTGATGCCATTCCAGTTTGTCTGAAACTGTTTAAACATTAAATTTTCTGGATTCTGGAGCTGCTGTTTTGCCTGAGGTAATTTGCTCCCAGAAATGTTAAAGATGAAGCTCATATATATATGCCTCCTGCAGGCAAGCTCTAACAAAATAGATTCCTGTCTTTGACTGAACCTAATATTGGTTCCTGAATGTCTTCCAGTATTTGAGGCAGTTGTGTCAAAACTAATCCCTTCACATCGTCACATATTCCATAATCTTCCAGTACATTACTCAAAGCTTCATACTCAGCAGCTCCAGTTCCATGCTCCAAAGCTGGAATTCCAAGAAGCTTAATGTCTCCATCAATATT